AATGCGACATTAAAGAAAACATTTTTATTTACTCTGTTTCTTTTACTAAGGGTTTTTGGCATTAGCTTTTTTTACCAGTCTGAAGGTTTCCTCAGGTCTTGCTGGGGCTGAGGGCACTGACATGTTTCCTGACTGTGGAGTTCAGCTCAGCAAAGGGAGAGCTCTCTGCCCAGGAGGGCTTTCATGTTCAAATAGAAAGGAGGATTAGGATTTGAGGCAAGGTTTGCTCTAAAGTAAGGAGAACCTGTTTGCCCTAAGCAATTAGTTTACATATTTCAAGTATAGATACTATTGCTTAGTTAAGCCTTGTGCATGCATTGGTGGGATGTGATGATGATCAAGCATTTTAAAAACAAATCCTAAAGGAGAAAAATTATGCTGCCTTTGCATTGGCATGTTTACAGCAGGTGGAATTTAACATCAACTCAGTTCCCAGTTCAAACTGGGAATTTGGCTGCCAGTACGGTGTGAGCTGTTTAGTTATTTTAATTGTCTTATCTGAATAAAGCTATAGGGAGTGGGTTGAGGGTAAACAGGAAAAAGCCATAATAACATTGGTTTAAATTCACACCACAGGTCACACCAAAAGATGTCCTTGTGTAAACAAGGCTTGTGTTTGTTCGTACAACTGAGTTCAGCTGTGGCTATTGCTGATATCCATTGTCAGCAACAGATCATTTTTGTAGTATAGCCAAGCCTCTGAGACAAAGGCAGTAATCAGTCTTGTAGCACAGCTCGATGACAGGGATGGCATTATACTGATAGACAAAGCAAAGTGGGTTTTTAGCCCTCTGTAGCAAGAGGAGAAGGGAATATTGGCTAATACAAGTATTTTTCTGTATTTTTGTTGCCAGCTGCTAAAGATTCACAGTGAACTCATACCGTACTTTCACCAGTCTTAAAATACTGTTTCCTTTTTAAAAAATAATAAAGAAAAAAATTAAATTTGAAACAACTTGGTGAAACCTTTTTTTATTTTAGGTACTGCTGGCTTTTGTGAATCATTTCTTATACCTATAAATACTATTGTGGCACAAGGAATGCATATTTAAGAGTGATTTTTGTATTTGGGAAACCCTTGGTTCTTTGCCACGTGTGCCACTCTTAGGTGGGAAGCAGCAGAAGGCATACTGCCTGAAGGAGGGAGAGAGCTCCCTGGCAGTATTATTTGTGGTGGTATTCACAGAATAAACCTGTGTTTTATTGAGGCTGGGGGAAAATTAAAACCACAATGACAGCTTTTTGATGTTTTCAGTGGGTAGATCCAGGGCTGTATGTATCACACATTCTGTAGTTATATACCACTTCTTTGAAACTGCACTTCATTATGCCTTTGCATGGGAACCAAAGAAAAAGAACTTTAAAAGAATGTATGCCAGGGCTGTGTGACTGAGATTGCAACAGGAACTGGGAAAAAAAAACTCTTTTATTGGACTTTGAGGTTTGATATGTAAAGTTTAATTTGTCTATATCCCATTACTACTCCTCTAGTAGTAGAATGGGAGACATGGCAATACAATGATTGACCATAAAGTGTTTAAAAATCACATCCAGGGGATGGAGGAAGCTGTACTTTTCACATTGTTTCTTTGTATTTGTGATGATTATCCCAACTGGAAAGCAGACTTCAAAAAGTACAAGATTTTGCTATGTGTTTCAGCTGCCCTGCTGTCAAAATGTTGTATCTTGCTTCTCTGGCAAAGGCAGACATTGACTCTACAGCTTAAGCTTACCTACATAACTGAGTGTCATATGCCATCTTCCAAGAAGGTCGTTGCCTCAGTCATTTCCCCAGGTTGTTAGTAATGGAAATGTGTCAGGGGTTTCTTGTGAAAACAAGTGTTTAGGATGTGTGCAGTTTAGGATGTGATGAGAAGACGTTCCAGAGGGGTTGGTCTAGGCAATGGCTTCTTCTGCCAAGGGAGTCATGAACTGTACTGCTTGATTTTTATGTATGTATGTAAAGAATATAAAACAGGTATGCTTCTAAATTTTTCAAGAGCAAACACCAAACAAGCCATAATGAGTGTTGGATGCAGGTTCAACATGTATTTAGAAAGCCTTCCCCTCGAGAATTGCCACCACAGACTCTCATCACTATTGCTGTTGGAGCACAGGTCTGTTGAACCCAGCCCAGATAACTTGTTGGGGTATTTATTTACAGCAGAATGTCTTAATGTTGTGGTTTTTTCTTCCAGTGGAAGAAAAAAACTTTCTGCAGATAATGTCCCTTCTTCTGGATGCTTTTTATTCCTTGACTGTTAGGGACATTCTAGTCAGAATTTTCTTGCCCTTTATCAGCTTCTTTGCAGTAAATTCCACACGATGAGTCAAGGAAACCCAGTGCATTATTAAAAATGGTCATCTTTTAGAAAGATGCATTGCTTTTAATAAAGAATAGCAAACACACACATGCACAGTACTTAGGAACAATACAATTTCAGAATTTCAATACTCAACTTCAAAATAATTGTTGAAAGTTTCTAGTGAACTGAGGAGAACACTGTTAAGGTGTTTTCTATTTGGTCATACTTTGTTTTTAATCTTGTTTCTCTGCTTGCTAGGAGTTTGTTACAGAAAAGTATTGAGCAATGAAAAAAGTCTTTATCCCTGCCCGTGAGAAAGCTGTGCTTGTTTATATGAGTACTCCTTGTAACAGTTCAGAAGTTAATTCTTAGGGTGCTGTTTGGCTAACAAAAAAAGGCTTCAGTAAAATCACAGTTGATTCCAGAACTAACACGTTTTAAAGTGTGGTTTTGACTTTTACAGTTATCCCTCTGGTAGAGACATAATTTTATATATGTCAATTGGATAAAAATATAATATTTTTTTTTTTTTGTATAATAAAGTGATTCCTTTAAAAGAAAAACAAGCAAACAAAAAATAACCAGAACATACAACTTGTAAAAACAAAATTACTTTTAAGTAGATTTTTTTTTCCCCCCACAGGGCTTGAATTTAAGAAAGGATTTGCATCCTTCTTTGAAGTGAGAGTAGAATTTGCATCCATTTGGCTGTTTTATCATGGTTCACACTCAGAGTTATGAGTTCTGGTACTTCAGATTTTTTTTTTTTTCTTTTTTAAGCAATGTGTCTCACTAAGCACTGCTGGATTGCTTTTACTGTTCATATCACATTCCAAACAAGTAGTTGGAGCAACAGTGTATGGTAGTATTACACCTGAAATGATACATTCTCCTTTTTAATTTGAGAGGTGTCAGCACTTTTTCATCTCTTGCATTTTCCATGTGATGAGAACTGTACTGGGCTGATTCTGGCACCATGAGCAGACTAAATATCTTGCTTTCAGAAAGGACTACTCAGAATAGCCTATGAGTAATTTTTGTCTAATACTACAAGGGGAAGAAAAATAGTAGCTGCAGTAACAAAAGGACTGAACTAATCAAGTAACAAAAATTTGAGCGTTTTAATGGCTGTGGGAGGGCTGGATTATTAACAGTTGTGTTAGAGAAAAACACTGCACCGTCTGTTCCTCTCAAAGCTTATGGCTGTGTGTTTATGAGAGAGACCACTTATCCTGAGGCCAAAAAAAGGCAAGAAAAAAGCCTCTCCTTGGACTTCATTTCAGCGGCAAGCTTAAAGGCCTGCAAAAGCTGATATTTCTAGGTTCGGGGTACTTTGTGGCAAGGGCTGTGTCTCTGCCCAGAACGTTGAATGATGTCTCCTCCTTCAGAGTTCAGAAGCTCCAATAGGCTGTCACTAGGCATTTTTTATGCAGAGTTGGTTTTTTTCTCTTTTTTCCCTTAGACATGATGTTTGTAGATTCAGAATCCTAGCATGTGAGACCAGTAGAAGTGCCAAAGACACAATTAAATGATTGCTTCTCTTGCAGTAAGCAGCTGGCAGAACATATAGCTGTGCAGTTTGTGCAGTCCCAGAGATTGTTTGCTTCTCCTCCTTTGATCTAAGCCATGTTTGCTCCAGAAACGACTCACCCTGCTAGCATTTGGCCTCTGCTCCTTGTCCATCATCCATACTGGCTTGTACTACTGCATTGTGGTGTTTTGTCATGCGCCACCACGATTCTACTTCATGAAAGATTTTTAATAGTATTGGACAGAAAATATAACAATTCTGCATTGCGATGTTGTTGTGTGGGTTTGGGCTTTTTTTGACATAAAGACCAATAAGTAAAAGAGCAAGATGGTGTTTACCCAGCTGTATTGTAGGGCTTTGGTAAGGGACAGAGTTGCCATTGTTTGAATTTGTTGCTGTTGCTCGACTTGTTGCATGTAGGCCTCTGTGGAATTACACTAGCTATATGCAACACTAGGTGGTATGATTTCTATAGTCTCTGTAGACTATGTTTTACCTTCTCCTTTCTAGAAAACAGTGTTAAACCCCAAATCTCAGTTGTGTGTTTGTCATGTTTTTATCACTTCTAGGCAGTTTTATTCATTGAGAAGAGATGAGTGGTCAGTGCTTTGCTGCTGCTGTGATTTTTTTTTTTTTTTTTTCCTCCAGTAAGATATAAAGAGGATAACTTTTTCTTCTGCCCTTTAATACTTTCCTTTTGACCCTTGAAACTGAGACTGAGTGATGACCATTAGCCACTCACCTCCACTCATTTGGGTATACTGACCAGCCATGCAGCAATACAGAAGACTTCTGCACTATGTTTTTGCTGCTGTCAATTGCTAACTAAAGGGCTGAACTAAAGTTTGTCAAATCTCTTACCTTTTTTCTGGTCATAGAGTATCACATAAATTCACTGGTGAAAATGAATCCATTTCACTTAATAGTTGGACATACTTTCACACTTTTCCCACTACTATCCATCTGTGGACTTGGTTTTAGCACTGAGACAAAGCATAAAATCATGGCATAATTTGCAGCAATGATGTAAAGCATATTAGAGTAGCCGTATATGCTGACACTGACTTCTCCTGTGCTTATAAGTAGTTTATCTTGTGCTGGTAGAGGTTGAAGGAAATGTTTTATTACAGTATTAACATACTGGTGTACCTCTTGATTTCCAGGTTGCATCACAACGCATAAGCTCTGTGGATCTTTCATGCTGCAGCCTGGAGCACCTGCCTGCCAACCTGTTTTATAGCCAAGACCTCACTCATCTCAATTTAAAGCAGAACTTCCTCAGGCTAAACCCTAGCCCATCCACAAGTAGAGCACTTAATGAATTACAAAGGTAAAGTGTTATTGATCTACTGATCTTCCTCTGCCCAAGTGATCACTAGTCTGCAGGAACTTCCCTAAAAAATAACTACCTCCTCTTGTGGACAGTTGACCTGGCTGTAATGCTTCAGAAATTACTTAATTCTGTGTGGTAGACTAGCTTTCATAAGAAACTTAATGTTTTTCTTGTAAATAGAAGGCTATTTTCAATCCCAAATGCAGTTTTCAGAATGTGCCGTTTTTATCTGCCTACTGAGGTCAGACCGTCATTCTTCAGTCTTTGACTCACAAGGGTGAATGTGAGTTGGTGAGCTGCCCATCAATGGCATGTGTTCTAGGTGGGAACAGTACTGCCTGTGACTCTAGAAGTTTTGTTACCTTCCTGAGCAAAGAAAGCCCTGATGTAATAAATTCACCTTGATTCCTGTCCTATTCCTACTTGGCTTAACCCTAATATTTCTTTTTTAGTAACTGTGACGCTCCTGTTGTTCTTGCCACTGCAGCTCACATGAGTGTGATGAATGGGTAGACAGCAGCACAATCAGTGATCTGAACGATTTAATATATGTGCCCTGTGAAATCAGCAGGCTTTCTGTGTTCAGAAAGATGCTTGTTTCTGTGTAGAATATAAACCTCATTTTAATTTCAGTGGTAACTAAATTGCGAACTACCTCAGGATTGTGGTCAAGCAAAACATTTTAAACCACATTTCTAAATCCCTTCTTATTTGAAAAAGAACAAAAAATACAAGTTGGATTATGCAGGATGTTATATTTTTATATAATTCCGAATTTGTTCTGAAAAGCCAAAAAATTTAGCCTAACAGAAGCTGAATGAATTCGGCAGGTCTGCTTCACAAACAAAACAGGCAGTGATTCCAAGATCTTATGAACACAGTCTTGACAGGAATACTGGATTAAATGTTCTGTGAATGTCAATATAGCTCTTCAGCTAGCAAGTGGAATTTTAGCATGAGTTAGGTGATGACATAGGCGAATAAAGAATGCCTTTATTTTATGAGTTTTTATCATTTTTTCCTTTTTAAATATCAGGAATTGTACAGGAGATACTTGATTGTATTTTGTCCATGTACATACAGCTAATTCTGTTTGGGATTAGAAAACATTCGTAAATAGTGTGATGTGCATCATTCATTGTCTAATGTTCTCTTGGTGCTGCAATTGTAGGAACAGCTGAAGAATTTAGCTGAAAGTTAACAAATTGTTAAATTTTTTCTTGCTAATGCAAGCCTGAATGTGCAAAAGTGGAAGAGTTCAGGTCACCAAATAACTCTTCCGTTTTCTGAGATTATGCATCAGGAAAATGTGGAGAAGTAGTATATAGCTGAGGTGGTGCAAAACTGATTAAGTGTCTCATTTTTCTGAGGGCTGGACCTATTCTATCAGTGACTAATAGTCTGCTCTGTCTCCATTGCTTTGACCTTGTCACGAAGGCACAGGGGATGTCTGTGAAATTTTGGAGGGAGAAAAAAAAACCCAAATGATTAGGAAGATTGGACAGCACTGTTTCCAAAGCCCAGTGCCTCGTGAACTCCTTCCCTTTGCCACTGCTGATGCCCGCCAGCCTTACCTGCATCTAGCACAGGTGGCTGTGCCCAGGCAGTGAGAAGCTGGAAGCTTCTGCTGCTGTTCCTATTGCTGTGCCAGTGGAAAGGGCTGGGTGAGGTGGTAGCTCCAGCTGAGGCTTAGGACAGTTTATCTGTTGCAAATGCGTGAGCCTTCCCCTGGAGTGCTGTCTCAAGCTGTGCCCCTTTCTGCCCTAAGAAACACAGTGTTGGCTTTTCCTCCTTAGGGGGGTAGTTTTACTTGTGCCACCAAAATCCTTTGAGCCAGTTTGACTGCTACTGTGAGTCTGCTTTTCTGTAGTGAGTAAATACACAAATATCTCACAAGAAGGGAGCCATCTATTTTTTAAAAAAATTATTAGTGAATCTCAGTATGAAAGCATGTGCTAAGTAAGGGAATCTCAGTCATTCCTGGGAACACAAGTTTTGTCTGACTTTTTTTTTTTATTTTTTTCTAAATAACATAAAACTATTATGAAGTCTGTTGTGGGTTACATGAGGTAAAACTTGACTCCATAAATCAAAAGTCTTTTTTTTCATTTGCCTGTGTTCTTTCAAACCAGTGCAAGGCAGGTACAAAATATTTGCTGTTCTCATTTAATTGTTGGCTTTTATACCAGATTCTCAGTTGCTAAACTTCACCTGCACAGAGGGCACAACACCCGTGAATCAAACTGAAAAGTATTTAAGGTTCCAAAATAATCATGTGCTTGAATGTTGTGAACAAAATGCCTTGGCATTTATATACCTGTCCTTTCTGGTGCAATTTTTGATTAAAATCCCATTAGCAAGGCAGTCTAGGAAAATTTGTCTTCCTGTAAGCAGCTCTTGGTGCTAGCTGTTTCTTTTAATAAATCATTTTAGGTGATAATTTAACAAATGCTCATGAACGCTAGATTTCAAGACAAGACGAAGATGTCTTTCTATTGTCAAAGACAGAAGGAAATACCAACTTTCCAGCTACCCGCTCTGTAGACAAACTTACAAGTGGCTGGATCATAGTAATAAGATGCTGCCATACTCACTGACTTGGCAGGTACAGTCAGGGATGGACAGGGGAAAAAAAATTAATGCTTACTTATGCAGTAACTTTTTTTAGTTGTTAAAATAATGTGATCTATTGCATTTCTGAATAAACTGTTTAGTCCTGCTCGGTACATGGCATAAGTGAAAATCTCCACCTTGGGAACTAAGCCGCTGGTAGCGTGTGAAGGTTTACAGAGGTGTAGATGTACTTCTTTCCCCAGTGGCTACACTTTCACTTGCTTTACTGTCCACTCAATTTTTAAGTTCTGTTGCTGTAGATACTTTTAAGCTGTGAACTTCTGCAAATGAGCTGTTTGAATATTGAAAGATATATACAGCTACACGTATTTTTTTTTTCCCCACTTGCCAGAGAATATTTCATACTATGTATAAAAGTAGGCACTCTGAAAATTAATCTGTATTTAAAAAGAAAAACATAGCAGATGTTGGTAGTTTTTTTTAACAAATCATAGTAAAGAATGTTTTTCTGTTGGGGGGAGAGAGGAGGTTCCTCAGGTGAAAGGTTGCCCAGCTGCCTTAGTATTAGAAGTGGCTGATGTGATAATATTCCTATTGAATCTGTTTGCCTTAAAGCCCTTGGTGCTTAGCTCCTGTGGACTGCAAATGGACTAATTGAAGACATTCTGTTGTCTTAAGTGGTCACAAATTTTCTTTACACTCTTATAATGATGGTCAGTGGATTTATTTTTTTTTTAACATAAAGTTGAGATTTATATGTACAGTGTGTTCCAGAACCTTACTTTCCCCTTATTTAACAGCTCTTGTTCTGAAAGGCATGTTCAGGCTTACTAGTTTTGCAGAGTACTGTTGCTCTAGGTTTGAAGCAAATGAATAAACCAGTCTTTATTTACTGTAGTTCTGCTTGGCTGGATTAAGCATGCTTTATCTTCATACGTAATAGTTTCAGGCAGCACTGTTGGAAAAAAAACATTGGCATCGAGGATACCATTTGCTTGCTAATATTGAAAAGTAAGTTGTCAGGGTGTAGATTTTTAATATAAGCCTGTTGCAGATTAAAAAAGAAAAAGTAAAAGAAAGGGGAAAGAAATGGGGGATGTAATGAGCCACAAAGTTTGTTTTAACGGTAAACAAAAGGATGTTTTCCCATTTTATCTGAAGGACAAGTTGTTAGTGTCAGGTAGTTAATTATTAACAGTGATTATATATAAGATCACTTGGCGTGATTTTTCCTCCAAAATCCTCTTAAGAAATGTCTTCTCTGGCATCTCAGCTAAAACTCTTCTTGGCTAGTAGTTACTTCAGTAACTCGAAGTTGCATCTATAGGGTGTGAGAAGGCTTAGAGGACTCTGAGATACTGATGCAAGTGCTTCTGAAAGTGCTTTTCTACTTCGAAAGGTAAGACAGCTGGTTTTATAGGAAAGCCAAGAATTTGGGGTTCCTTAAGCTAAACCCTCCATACAAAAGCATTGCACAGTGAGTAGACAAATGAAAATGCAATCATTACTCATAGAACACTTAGGTTTCCAGACAGCATTAATGAGGCAACTAGTATGAACCCAGAAGACAAGCTTCTTAGAAGACAGTATGAGATGTAGTTTGATCCTAGTTTGTCCCCAGATATTAAGGAGCAGGGAAGAAAGTCTCCAGCCTGCTACTTGGTTGGTCTCAAAGTGCATTGAAGTGCTCCTTGAGATTATTGCTTCTAGTGTAGGAAACTGAGGTTAGTGAAGAAAAGTCAGAGGGACTAATAACATGCCAAATATACATCTTCCCCTTAGCCAGGGCAAACAGGGCACTGCCAGTAGATGCACTGGGCAAGATTTGTTCTTTCTCCTTTTTTGTGTGAATTTTTTTTTGGGGGGTTGGGGTTTTTTTTGGGTGTTTGCCTTTTTTTTTTTTTTAGGATGCTTTTCTGGAAAGGATTGTGCTTTTAGATGCACACGTATATTGAAGTTACTTGGATGAATGCAGCTAAAGTGGGGAGTGTGCTACCACAAGGAACGAAATGCATTTGCGTGCCCCATGGTGTGGGAAGGTGCTGGGAGCTCTCACGCTCCAGTGGTCTCAGAGCCAGGGAACCTTGCACGTCTGCTCGTTTCTCCTCTTGCACTTGAAGCCAAAGGCTGAAGCATAGTCATCCAAGCAGTAGGGCAAGCAGGAGAAGTTGGCATGATACTGACAACTAGAGGTATACTAGTAACAAACTCCATCCAGTGTTTCCTGTGTTCTGGTGCTATGTTTATTTTTCTCTATTCTGTAGTCTTGGAATTTTTTTACTAATTATAGTACTAAAGAAGACAGTTGGAATGTGTTCATGTAACTTCACAGCTTTGTTTTATTCAGGTTATAGAGACATTTAAAGGAAGAGTTTGGTTTTGTTAGTGTACCTTCCCAAGTCTTCATGGCTAGTTGTATTCTA